TTATGATTTTTTAGTACCAGATTAAATGACTCTTACCTATTAGAGTAGTAGACAGGAGGTACATGACTAAGACATTCATGATGATTTATTAGCTCTCTGATGCTCTTTAACACTCTTGAAAATTAAGGCTGTCTTATGCATGTTTGTGTCCATTCTTTTGAGAGAAATATTATAGCAGCGATTTCTTATTCTAACATGCTCAGTTAACTTTTTTCTGGTGTAAAGGGTGAAGCAATAGAAATACACATACTTTTGTTATGTTTTTCCCTTTCTGTTCAGGTTTATCTTATAGGAATTCTTTGGAATGTAAAATATTTACACCTTATTGCAGATAAATTATAACTTTTCCTTTTTAAAAAAGTAATCTAGAGGATAAAGAAGCTTTTATGGATGCTGATATCTATGACTTATCTGACAGGGCATTCCTTATTACTTCCAACATTTCCATATTGCTGTGCTGCAGCATACACATGCATTTGGCATATGAGCTATTTACGCTTAGAAACAATGTATGAAAGAGCAGCAACGTGACAGATGTACCTCCAGAAGGATATTTAAATTGATTTTTTTTCGTAATACTTTTTTTTTTCCCCCTCAAATTCCTTCTAACTTTATATGTCATTCCACATAATACAGTTTATGGCTATCATGGCTGCCTTTGGCACCATTTCCCGGTCATTTGACATATTTGGAGAAACATTTAATATTTTCGAATACAACAAAGGAATATTTTACATTTTCTAAGGTCTTTAGCTATTCCTCCTCTTTACAGTATTTCCCGTACAGTAAAACACTTTTATAGAAAACGTCTCGGTTTATCAAACATTCATTTACAGTTTATGGTCTGTTAGTTGGATTATCTTTTACTCCACTTGGCCCTCAATTTTATTTTGCTTTATTTGTTTTTTAATTTTTGTGGCATCTGTGATATGTTGATGTATTACTCAAAGGACCACAGAAAAATTTTTGGAACTCCTATTTTCTGAAGAATTTGGAAATCAAATGAAGATATAGCCATTTATTATCAATCAAACCATTGTCATTTTTATAGAAAAAAAAGAGAAGAAAGAGAAAGAGAGAGGGAGGGAGGGAGTAAGGGAAGAAAATAAAAAGGGAAGAAAGATGTTAGGCTTTTTTACTTTAGTGAAATAAATTGTAATGCTGAAAAGGACTCTAGAAATCATCTAACATAGTGATTTCCAACTTCTTTGAGTATGAAGCCCTATTTTTAACAAACATATTGTTTTTAGGACCTTGCAAAATAGCAATTGTTCTTTTGGTAAATATTGATCAGAATATATTGGAAAAGATTTATAAATTAAATGACATTTTACAATTAAATTTACATTTTATTAGAACAATAGCACCTACATATATATGGAAAATTGGTGCATATGTGCAAATAACATATGACATTCTGGCTAGGGGTAACAAAGATTAAGATTTGAAAAGTTTATGAAATAACAGTATTTCTGCAACAGAATCTCATTCAGTTGGGAAACACAGAATTTCTCCAATTCATTCTTTTTATTTTTATAAAATGAAAACAAAACAGATGAGGAAAGTTGCCCAAGGTCAGATTAATGAAAAATTTAGATTAATGTTTCTGCTCGCCAAATAGTCTTTCCATAATGCCAAATATCACCCCCAATAAGGAGTTAGTCAATTATGTTTCTAATAAATCAGACCAGACACTTGAAGTAAGGATGACTTTAGCTTATACCTTTTTTGTTTGATCATGTCAATTTTGTTTGGTTGTATTAACGTATATTAAGACCAGATTTAGTAATTAATCTGTAATTAGAATAAAAATTATTGAGTTATGCTAGATTGCCAGAAATAGAAACAGATTGCATTGCTTTAAATTAATAAAGAAGTATTAAAAAGAAATTTTAATTTACTGAGTTGATAGTTAAACATGCACATATATTTATGATTCTTTAAATCTGATAGAATATATTCCTAGTCATGGAGTTCTATAAATACTTTTAACCCATCACCTGAATGATCAGAACATGCAACAGACTGAATAGTTACTAAATTTAAAGTTCAAGTTATAGAAAAGCATGTTTTTTAGTGTGTATAATTCTTCATTATATTTCTGATATCATTATGAACAATGAAGCTTCCCTAGATAGCCCTGCAAAAACTGACTTCTGGGATTATGATGAAGAGTGGAACTGGCTCCTGAATGAGGTAGGTCATGTATTCTACAGCATACACATGTTCAGAAAAGAACAAGTAAATCTCAGGGGAATTTGGCCAACTGCTTATTCTTACATTTGAGCCTGTTGCACACCCACACAGATGCCAAGGTGTCATCTCTAAAAAATTGGGAGGAAAAACCTTGGAATCAGTGCTCTCTTACTGGAAACCAAGCATTACTAAAAAAAAAAAAAAAAAAAAAAAAAAAAAAAAAAAAGAAATAAACTAAAAATTTTTTTGCTATTGATGATTGGTTTATTAATAATTATTTATCTTTTAAACTTTCAAATG